ACCCTTTGTGTATTCCTGAACCACTTGAGTATTTTCCCTATTAAACAACCTCTTTTGGAGTTATTTCTTTAGCTTTACTCTTTACCAATGATAATATTTTGGGCAAATAATTCACCTAAGCTTTTGCTGATATGAATTATGAGCTCATTCCCACTGCCCATTTCAAGTTTAAACTTTATTTTTCATTCTACCCAGTAAGAAATCTGATGACATGCTATACTTTATTTTGGTTTACTATACAGTATTCCATTGTATATTCACACTGTGTAGTATTGTGTGAATAAACCATAGCTTATTTATCCATTTTACTATTGATAAGCATTTGGGTAGTGTCACGAATACATGAAAAAAATAAAGTATTATACAGATACTCATATGTACATGTACAATATCCACACACATTTATACATATACAGTATTTAAAAACTTTCTATTGAAGTATAACATACAGAGATGCATATATAGTAGTACAGCTTGATGAATTCTCACAAACTGAACACGCCATCACCCAGCTCAAGAAACAGAACATAACCAGCTTCTCAGAAGCCCTGCTCGTGACCCCTTCCAGTCATTACACCCCTATCAAGGGTAACCACTCTCCTGTAATAGCATAAATAAGTTTTGCCTGTTTTTGTACCTTACATAAATGGAGTCCTATAATACACACTCTCATGTCTCACTTCTTTCACTTAGCACATTTGTGAGATTCATATATGTTACTGCATTTGGAAGCAGATTGTTCATTCTTGGTGTTGTAGAGTGTGTTCTGTTATATGAATATATAACCAATTTTTTATACATTTTGCTGTTGAAGAGCATTTGGGTCATTTCCAGCTTGGGAGTTACAGTGTTGCTCTGAGTGGTTTAATATATCTTTTGGCATACATTTGATATTGGTATATTCCTAAGAGTGGAATCACTGGGCCATAGGGTTTTTGTATGTTTAACTTTATTAGATATTGCCAAACAGTTTTCCAAAGTGGTTGCACACAGCATTTGACTTCTTGAGGAATCATTCAAAGGAAGGCATTTCAGCATAAGCGTTAAGAGAACAGGTTTTGAAGTCATTCAGACCAAATGCTTAACTTTAAACCTACATTTCCTCAACTGTTAAACAGGTATAATAAAACCTTCCTCAAAATTTATAAGAATTAAATGATATTATTTTAATGCACTTAAAATGGTGCCTGGAAGATACGAAGGTACTTCAAAAAGTCCATGAAAAGATTTGTAGTTTTTTAAAATTGTTTTTCCGTGAACTTTTTGAAGTACCCTTGTAGCAAATGCTTAGGGTATTATATATGGCAGTTATTAATCATTAGCAATTAAAACAGACAAAATGGAAATTTAAAAACAACTATAGGCAATAAAACCCATAAACAATTGTAATTCTCTGATGAAAGAAAAGTATAAAACTCTGACCCAAATGGCATTACCAATTTCAGTGAATATTACACTTAGACCCTGAAAAAAATCATTTAAATATTATCCCAAAATGTGTTTGCAAATTACTCTTGCCAGAGGCAAGGTTCTTGGGTGTAGTGTATTACCATCCTTTTTTTTTTTTTTCTCTACCAGACATTACTCTTTAAAGACAAGACTGCCAAAGGCTACTCTGGAAAGTCACTAATATAATACCTTTTATTATATTTGCCAATTTCACACCTTCCTCAACCCAATCCCCAAAGTTGTTGAAAAGCGACTATAACTGCAACATTAGTTCCTAGTTTTCCTGGAATCTTATCAGTATCTAAGACAACTTTCACATTCCTAAAAACCTTAAAAATGAACCCGGATCCTTGCTTTAAATTACAAAGAGATGGCCTTTATTTTGTAGGATGAGGTTGATAACCTCAGTGTGGATACAGCAGCTGCAGGAACAGCACTCTACACAAGTACACTTTGTACAGAGGTAGTATTTTAGCTAATTGCTCCAGGGGCAGTTGGCTCAGTCATCTTAGGTAGGTAATTTTGGAAGGCACAGTCTGTATTCTTAATAAATTGAATTGGATTCCTATATATCAGTCACGATTCTTAAGAAATAAAACACAAAATCTATTTGAAAATATTTTCATCTTTTGAGAAGGCCAGTGGTAGACCTGAAAGGTAACTTTTTGAACATTTAATTGAACCTCTTTGATTTACAGATCAGTAAACGACTCATTTAAAAGTCTCGCCCAAGGTCAAATGGCTTTCCCTGGGTAGGCATAAAATTCATCTTCTTACAGTCCAGTGGATGCCCGCCTCTGTTCTTGGCACTTTGCCTTCCACCTTCCCCCCAATTCCCATCCCTCTACCCCATTTCATAAAGACCCAGGCCTGGATCCAAAAGTAGGGGAGCTGAAGGAATGTGCCTTAAAACAGGGAATGAGAAATCATTGTTATTGTCAGGAAGTGTAAGACGAGTGAGGCTCGCCTGCTGGAACATAAGATCCAGGAGGAAGGACCTTCTCCGGCTTTGTGAACCACTGTATTCCCATCACCCAGAACTGTGCCTGGTAAGCCCTAATAATTGTTAAATGAAAAAAAAAAAAAAAAAAATCAATCTTGGGTATGTCAAATTGAGAGAAGACACTTCCTTACTGTTTTCTCTACCACCTCCTTCCAGTAGCACTAATAAAACATGCAGATTTGGATTCTGAAGAGGAGAAATCATGTACAAAGCGTTCTAGCACGGTGCCTGGCCCATTGTGAGGAATTAATAAATGTCAGTTTCTCCTTTTCCTCCTCTTCAATTGTGGGCTACGAGGGGTGAAAGGGGTGATGTGCTATGGTGTTTATGCGCCTGGACAGAAAATGAAGAGAATATCTAAGAGGCTGGTGAGAGAGGGCTGTCGGCGTCTTTCTGATCCGTATAGATCAATTCCAATGCCCCGAAAAACGCACAGCTATTTTATCCAGAGAGGCTGGTTGCTTTTGTTGATCGATTCTGGGCTGCAGTCAGCTCTTTAATACAACTTTTTATAAGCATCAGCTACATTACAGCGGGAGGAGGGGCAGTGGTGGGAAAAGCAGCGAAGCTCCCCTCCCCAAAAGTAAAGGAAGCCCACGGTGGCAGGGATTGCGGTTTGCGGGTCTAACGGGTCCCTCCGGCGGGGGCTATCCCGGCTCCTCGAGCCCCGCCCCATCGCCCGCGGCGGCTGCCGAGGTTCAAGTCCAGCCCCCAGCGGCTTGGCCTGACGCTCCCGGCTCCAAAGCCGCCCGCGCATTCCCAAGGGCCCCCGCTGGAAGGCCAGGGCGGTACAGGGGTCATCGGGGCGCGGGGTCACTCGGCCACGCATTGGGGTACCACGTGGGGGAAAAGTTTCCAACTCCGCCTGTTGGCCCTCCCAGCGCGTCCCAGCCGAGCAGAGGCCAGCGCTTCGGCACCCGCTCCCTTTCCTGTCGTCTCCGGTCGCGCCCCTCTCCCAGCGAAGCCCCCCTCGTGTCCCTTCTCTGAATTCTCTCCTTCCCTCGCTGCGCAGGACGCCAAAGAAAAATACCGTGGGGGCCTCCCGAGACTGCAGCCCGGGTTCCTCGGGCTGGCCTGGGATAGGGGGTCGAGGGGCAAGTGCTCCGAGGACGGTGCCGGGGGCGCGCACGGAGTGCCCAAGGTGCGGTGTCCCGCACGTGTCCCTGGTGCGACTGGCGGGATCCTTTCGAGGCTTCCACACCCCCGCGCGCCAACTCGGCCGGGCCGCGGTCACCCCACGCGGGCGGCCCCCTCCACACCTCC